CAAGTGATGTCAGGGAACAAAACATCAAAGCATCATAGCATTTTACCGTGAAAAATGGATAAACTGGTATTTCAGACTACTAAGAAAATTAGCTTTCCATTGAAACCAAATTCCTAATTGAGTCTCGCTGCTCAGTAATTTTGGTAAATATCAATAAGTCGAAGTCTGATGCGAAAGTCGGTAATTTGGAAGACAAAATATTCACCTTAAAGTTGTTTGATATATTACTGCGATTTTTGAGTTTGCATTCATGCGGTAGCATGATCAGCAGGCAGTACGATGTGTTGAAAAAGTCATTGTTATTAGTGTAGCACATGCAAATCTGTGGTGTTTGTTCTCGTGAATGTGTAGATGAAATCAAAAACTTTCCTCTATTCAGTGTGTAAAAAATTTGATTCCATCACATGGAAATCATATCAACACTTTAGGCTATTTCTTGTTGAATTTATTTATTTATGTCTGCTAGAAACCACCATATAATCACAATTCTTTGCCAGTACCATTCCATTATTTCTCTTAGCAGTCCACTGATATATTCTGAATTCAGCAAATCGAAGCGGTTGTCATCTAAAATGTGGCAGAAATCAGTCCAATCTTCAACACTTTACTTCTTCTATTCACTGACTTTGTTGGCAATTTCAACTCGAGCCAAAAATGAGGTAGATTCTGTTCTTATGAGTGATTATTCAAATGCTAAATAGCTGAAAGTTTACTTATAAAATTTCAGACAGCGGAGAGAATGAATATGAACGACAGACAGATAGCAAGAAGTGATGATTCTGATTTTATTGCTAAAAGGTTGAGAGAGGCTTTAAGTGTTGGAAGAGCAACAATGAGTGAGACTTCTGAGGAACTGACCACAGCGGCGAATCCCAACGGAAACAATTTACAGTTTATAAAAGTTCCGCAAACAATGTGGGATTCATTATCTCAAAGAAATGGACAGAGACAGATTTACAATGATCCATCAGCTGATCTCCCATCACATCGTCATAACAGTTACGATTACAATTTTAGTCTGAAAAAAATTTCCACTCAACTAATTTGCCAGAATCAGTTTTTCCAATTTTTCTTTCCACCTTTTGGCAAATTCATAAAAACTATACAACTGCAATAGCGGACTCACAAAACTCGATTGCAGAGGAAAATCAAAGCTCACCAGTGCAAGCACTGATTCCATCTTATGGACAAAAATCAGCAAATTTGAATGAAATGGTAAGAATTTTTTATTCCTGCAATGTCAGATGAAACTATTAGGAGCAGTGAAAGATTGTAATTTGTCTGCTGACACGTTATGAGAATCCAGACGGAAATTTTTCCAGCTAGAATTCATTAAAATAATATAGTACTGTAGAGTTGTGCAATTTATTTAAAGCTAACCAAGTTTGATATACAGAACATTAACAATGTTTGCAAATATTTTCAGTTCAAAGTACGGAAATTGCATTATTTTCATAGATTTGATAAAATATTTGTATTCGCTAAGCAAATTATGAAAGCATAGATTGTGCGCTGTTTCAGTGCGCAATATTTCTGCTCGAATCAAAACATAAAGAGAATACTATTCAAAAGATGTTTTGCAATTGAAAAAATTTGCTTTTTAGGGAACAAATTGTGTTGTGAAAACAAAATATTGCCTTTTAATTGTCATATTCTAATTTCAGTTTTTTACAAAATATTAGAAACTACTTGCAGAACAAAATGATTAGCACCAACACGCAGTCATATCAGTCTGAGATGCAGGAAAAATGCACGAGAAGTCTGAGCTCTGAGAAGGCTATTGAGAAAAAATGGTTTCAATGTCCCGTTTGTGAGCAGGGATTTCAGTACCAATGTTGGTTGAATACGCATATAAAATTTCACACTGGAGAAAAGCCTTACCACTGTCGAGTGTGCAACAAGAATTTTTCTCAGGCATCTACATTGAGGATTCATGGAAGAATTCACACTGGAGAAAAGCCTTATTCGTGCAGCATTTGTGCAAAGAAATTTTCATTTTTGGGCAATTTGAGAATACACGAAAAAGTTCATTCGGGTGAAAGACCTTATCAGTGTCGAGTGTGCAACAAGAATTTTTCTCATTTATGTAATTTGAAGACTCATGAAAGAATTCACACTGGAGAAAAGCCTTATTGCAGCATTTGTGCAAAGAAATTTTCTAGTTGGAGCAATTTGAGAAGGCACGAAAATGCTTACAGAAAGTTAGAACCATA